TGCAGTCCTTGACGTCAGCGGGGTGATCAGAAAAAATTAACCAAAGTGAATTGTAAACAAGTGTTGAAACATACTTCAGTTTGATGTTAGGAGAACCACCAAGTTCAAATACATTGAAATCAAATAAAGAGCACCTTTCATAATGCATTGTTAATATTAGTTTCATCTATGTTCTGTATGTACTTCTTTGAAGAGTTCAGACAGCAAAGGACTACTCTTTACCATTTCACCATTCATAATATATAGTCATCTGGAGACAAGTATTCAAGTTTTAAATTTGCCAGTTGGCAATTTATCGATATGCCATATCAATCAGTCACAATAATTGATGACGTCATATTCAATATTCATTCAGTTACATTATAAAGTTTCATGAAACTAATTAATCACAAACAGGATAAAAAATCTATTCATGTTCAAAGAACTTTATTTGGAATCGAGAATAAATAAAACATTTTATCCTAAAATAAATGTTATCGAAATATTTCAATTTAAAGTCATAAACAGTTGTCTACAAGTTTAAATTTGACAAAACTACTTGAATGGAATTCCGCCGGGAGAGCTTCTTTGATAACTACTGGTTCTAAGCCTGGATAAAGGAGAGCGTTGAGCATCGGGTTAGTGACCTTATCCCCACGCTAAGGAGACTCTTGCTGCTTCATGAGAGTTGGAAGGTCTTCATCTAAAAGAGTTATAATTCCTCATGATGAAAACCAAGTTTGCTAGGAAGTCACAAGACCGATGCCCCTTCTCACAACCAGAACAACAATTAAAAAGGTACATGGAGCACACTGTGAAAAACCTGAAGAACTGTTCAAGTGTCTCCAGAAGTAACAAGATATAACCTAGTGGTGCTTGGAATCAGTCAAACACATTGGACACAGACTGGAAAGAAAAGAGATGCTTTTGTACCCCGGCCATGAAGAGGAATATACCTCACACACAAAGAGTCGCAATAATAAGGTCCAAAGAAACACTTATAACACAGGAATTTCATGAACCGAGAATCATCAAAGCATCATTCAAGACAAAGAAAGAGGACATTCCAGTGAATACCATTTAGCGTTATGCACCAACCAACGTCAAGAATGAAGACGACAAAAAATAATTTTATAAGAGGCTACAGTCAATCGTGGAGAAATATCCAACAA